CAGGTGAAATTATGTTCAGCCTAAGTGTCCGCGTTTTTAGGTTAGGTTATCCGATCCGAGGCTGACAGCTGTGCCATTAGGGTCAGGTCAAGCGATTTATTGGTGGCGGGGGAGAGTCCTCGGGCTGGCGCCTCAAGACGGACACGAAGCGAGAGTTGACTGACGGAAATAGAGCAGAGTGTAACGCGAAACCGACTTCTATTTTCTCCGTTGTTTTAAAAAGTATCCCGCAGATAGACCGAGTATGACCCCGAGTCTGGTACACACACGGACAACTGAAAAACGTCGGTCCACGTGTAGAAGCGACGAAACGACGACGGGATTGGACGTTCGGGGTTCGTTTCCCCGAGAGACACGTGGCCACTGCCTTCGGAAGGGCTCTACGGGGATGCGAACGGGGACTTCTTCTTAACGTGACGTAATTCTGTATGAAACAAGTTTCAAGGTGACAAGACGACATCGAAACACAATTGACAGGTCCGAGGTTTTGACAATTTGACGTCTCTACAAGCCTATATAAAGTAAAATACTCGAAACATCCGTGTTAGCAAAGTATTGAGGTGTTTATTTTCGTCAAAATTAAGGCAGACTCTGGCAAATAATGCGACAGCACGGTCAGAGGGCTGTTGGCAGTCTCTTGAACCACAAAAAGGCGCATCGCATTGAAATCTCGTGGTGGCTTCTCAAGTTACCACCATTTATAGGCTGTTCTTCTGACAAGAAACCTCGAAGTTCACTTCTTTGTTTTACAAGATCGGAAATAAAAATTAATCTCAGGTAAATTAATAACCGTTTAATAATCCTTTTTATTATATTATTTTAAGAATTAAATTTCTTCGATTACAGACTTCACATTGCCACCAAGGTAACATCGATTTAATATCCTTCAAAGCTGTAAAAGTTCAACAGATGCTATTTCCGGTTGAACATTCCCTGTCCCAAAACACTCAGATGTTTGCCAAAATCATCTCAGACTTTCTCACGACAGTAAAATTGTTAATAGTGTAGGTGGTCACTTAAAAGACCACCATCGACGGCGGTAATCGCACGTATAAAACGTGACACACGCTGCAGCATTTATCCCTGCGGAAAGTTGCAAATAACGCGGTCGTAACACGTAGCTGTTCCAACGGGGTAACCGATGGGTCCAGTAGTCGCAGGCCGTGACTGTCCGAGCTGTGAGCGAACCCACGACCGAAAATGAGACGTTGCTGGCAGTCAGAGATGGATACAGAGCCTCTCAGTGGCGGAGTGAGAGGACGGACGGCTGTTCAGGCGCGTCCAAGCAAAAGCGACGTACGTCCATCCGCCCCTGTGTGACTAACAGCAAAATTTCCGATAGTTCGGGGTTCGTTTCCCCGAGAGACACGTGGCCACTGCCTTCGGAAGGGCTCTACGGGGATGCGAACGGGGACTTCTTCTTAACGTGACGTAATTCTGTATGAAACAAGTTTCAAGGTGACAAGACGACATCGAAACACAATTGACAGGTCCGAGGTTTTGACAATTTGACGTCTCTACAAGCCTATATAAAGTAAAATACTCGAAACATCCGTGTTAGCAAAGTATTGAGGTGTTTATTTTCGTCAAAATTAAGGCAGACTCTGGCAAATAATGCGACAGCACGGTCAGAGGGCTGTTGGCAGTCTCTTGAACCACAAAAAGGCGCATCGCATTGAAATCTCGTGGTGGCTTCTCAAGTTACCACCATTTATAGGCTGTTCTTCTGACAAGAAACCTCGAAGTTCACTTCTTTGTTTTACAAGATCGGAAATAAAAATTAATCTCAGGTAAATTAATAACCGTTTAATAATCCTTTTTATTATATTATTTTAAGAATTAAATTTCTTCGATTACAGACTTCACATTGCCACCAAGGTAACATCGATTTAATATCCTTCAAAGCTGTAAAAGTTCAACAGATGCTATTTCCGGTTGAACATTCCCTGTCCCAAAACACTCAGATGTTTGCCAAAATCATCTCAGACTTTCTCACGACAGTAAAATTGTTAATAGTGTAGGTGGTCACTTAAAAGACCACCATCGACGGCGGTAATCGCACGTATAAAACGTGACACACGCTGCAGCATTTATCCCTGCGGAAAGTTGCAAATAACGCGGTCGTAACACGTAGCTGTTCCAACGGGGTAACCGATGGGTCCAGTAGTCGCAGGCCGTGACTGTCCGAGCTGTGAGCGAACCCACGACCGAAAATGAGACGTTGCTGGCAGTCAGAGATGGATACAGAGCCTCTCAGTGGCGGAGTGAGAGGACGGACGGCTGTTCAGGCGCGTCCAAGCAAAAGCGACGTACGTCCATCCGCCCCTGTGTGACTAACAGCAAAATTTCCGATAGTGGCGACTCTGGTAGCAAGAAACGCAAGCTATAACTATATTTTAAAATTTAAATAAACTTAAAAAAAATTACAAATCTCGCACATTCGATGCGATTCGCAATAATAATGATGAAAAACAAATTTTACTACTGTTGAGTACAAAAAGGGCTCATTTCACTGATCACAAAACGCTCTTGAAATTAATAAATTGTCACGTGTCCCCCCTCTGTTTCGGAACACGTTACCGTTTAAGAAATAAACACGCAGACACTGGCAATACGGCAACTAGCAGCTTACACCCAGTCAACTGAGGTCGGTAACCATTTTTAGTGCAATCAGCAAAAGAATTCACTTAGCGACAAGAAACTGTCAGTGGGTTTCAGCATTTTGGGGTGTGCGATCAGCGCCCGGACTTAACAAAACAATGAAGGAATATTAAGCCATTGACGATAAAATTTTCTACGACAGTAGCGCCGCTCTGTATTCACGATGGTGAAACTCCCAGAAGATTAATAATTTGCATTAACATAATTTATGACCGAAATAATCAACATGAGACCGTCCTAAGTATTTTTTATAAAAGTCCTAAATATTAAATTATAAACATTGAATATTTAGACGACTGGACGACCAGGGTTCGATACCCGACGGGGGCAGAGGATTTTTCCTCTAGCCTCTGCGTCCAGACACGGTACCGGGGCCTATCCAATGGGTACCGAGGTCCTGGCCACTCACCAGGTGAAAAATGAGTAGGAGCTCTCCCCCCAAGCGTCTATATGGCGTGTAGTAGAAAAAACTTTACTTTTATTTTAGATTTATGATCTGTAAAATGTACAAACGTGCAAAGAGAAAAGTCTTGCGACAAAT